ACAGCACCTAGCACAGTGGGGCCATGATCTCAATTGTTACGGTCCTTTCCTCAGGTCTGCCACCAGTTTACTCTGTGATCTGTAGTGAGTCACATCTCCTTAGTTTCCCCCCTTGGTACAAGGGGTAGGGCAGATTTGGAGACCAAGGAGGAGAACCGAAGCCTTTTCACTCCTAGGTCTTCGATGACCCTCTCAGTTCCCAATGAAGGGAGGAAAGGGGATGAAAAACCCATTTCCTCCTCTTGCAAAATGTTACCAGTGATCTTTTTGCTGAACAGTTTGATCTGAAAGAGCATGGTTGCACACGCCGCTTGAGCTTGGCTTTAATAATATGTTGTGGCAATGATAGACTTGGTTAATATTCTCTGAAGGAAATGGGAGCCTTTTGCAGGCAAGAAACCATTTACTTTGGATTAGAGCGAAAGAACGCTTTCGACTGCGTAGAAAAGCCTGCAGACAGGGAGACGGGCTTGTTCTCCGGGAGCAAACCGTTCCTTTTCGGTCACAAAGTATGCGAGGAATAAACTCCTCCGTTTTCTCAATTGGCCTTATTCTCCAGTCTATTGTCATCATTTTTTGCCTGCAACTTTCACATTTGTTATAAATACGGAGGTTTCCTGTTGGTCTAATCTAAGACCTGGGAACATAAATATGCACTTGTAACCTATTGCTGAATTCTGGGAGCGTCAGTATTGAATAAAAGAAATTCTTCTCTCGTCCCCCTAGGACTTGGGTTTAAGGCCTTCAGAGGGAAATATTTGGTGTGTTCTTTGCCACAATATATTTTGCCTTCTCCCATAATCAGACTGCTTCACTTGCAGCATGGACTTCTTCATCTTCATTTGTTCAGTGTCCCTGAGGTTAACAAAAGCATGACAGCGTTACACCGCCCGAAAAACTGTAGCATTTTGGATTGTCCTTTTATGTGGCTTTCTGAATTTCTCAACCCTCTTCTTTGGAGGAAAAGAAAATATGCTTAAGTTTTTTGGGTTTTTTTGGGGCGGGGGTTGGGGAGAAGGAAGGGGATAAGGATGCACGTGCTTAAAATCAAAGATGACCTGAGATACTTTGCTGAATCATAACCTTAGTTCTGCTTTTCCCTGTGTTTGGGATAACCAATATTATTTCATCGTCCTGTTATCAATGTTGTCCTTCAAGGCTCCAGCTTCTGGAGTCAAGTGATTATGCGAGACTCCATTTTTTTTCTGAGTGCAGAGAAGAGCTCCAGACGAGCCCAGATGATAACACAGTGCTAGTACAGATTTGACTGGTTATTTGTTTTTAGATCTCACAGCGTTTGGCTAGCTGATTGTCTTTTCTTGTTAACAAAGGTTGCAAGCTTCGGAGGCTCAGGTGCTATCTGTCCTGCGCTTGTACAAATCCCCAGGACAGTAGCATAGCTGGAGCATCTAGCTGCTACTGTCTCATTAAGTGTCCCATTCACAGAAATGCTTGAATCTCCCTCCCTATTTGTTTTTGCCCTGTACCATCTCCGACGCTGTCGGTCCTTGCAGAGCCCCTCTGCCGAAAGCCGCCAGCGAGTGCCCGGGCATGTGCCCGAGAGGCATTGGACTGATGAAGACAACTGTTGGTGATTAGTGACCAGGGGCAAATTTAAACTGGTAGCCAACAGGGGCTTTGTTTGGGATCTGGTCCTAATGGACTTGAAAATAAGGGAATAAGTGCTGCTTTTCATTTGCAGCACTTGTTCATCCCTTGGACAAATCACTTCTCCTTTCCGGTTCCCCTCTTCTGCTTTGCTGAGATTGCTGTTTAGTGGGGACCGTCTCTGGCTGTACAGTGCACAGTCTTGATTGAGGTCTGTTAGGGCTGTTATAACAGAGGGAGACTAGGAACATAATATAGGAATATAGGAGAATAGGAACAGAGTATAACATAGGAAGCCATGCATTGAATCCCAGCAGCGTTGTGTTAAACCTGGTGTTGGGGATCTCTCTGCCATGCCTTCTCCCCTCCCCACTGCCTCTGCCCAGGACCAGATCAAAAAGTGCATTTGGTAGCACTTCAAACATTGCCACGCAACACTTGAGGACCAAATACCCTTTGCTTCAAAGGCTGCTTTTAGGATACCCTGTGGATCCCCAGAAAGGTTGGAGAGACAAGCTTGTGGCATGTTATAACAACAGGAGTGCAGAAGCTTTCTCTTGTCCACCCACGAGGCATGAAATAGTCTGATGACTTGCACTGAATAACCATGAGATGAACCCGATGTAGCGCTCTTTCCCATTTCTCATATCAATCCAGTGGGAAATACGTTGATGCTGCCGGCGTGAATCCCCCCTGAGCTTATTCCCTTCCTCGTGGTGTCATGAAATCCATGTCTTTTTGTCATTCACGCTGGTTTTTCTATTTTTTTGGGTTTTTTTTAATTTTAAGCGAGGTCTGCGATTTGGCAGCTTGAGTTCGTGAACAGACTGCGCTTAAAAAGTGGCAGAGTTTCAAAATATTGTATTTTGCTTAAGAAAAAGGAAAGGAAAATAAATTCCCCATGTGCGGACTGGCAGAAGGCAGGAAGGCTTTTCATATTGATTCGCCTTCGGTATTTTGCCACCGTCTTCTGCCGTTGATCCTGCTTGTGAACCCCGATGAGATTAAATTCTTTACGGTCTGCTCTGGTTCATGTTCAAATCGGGTGGATTTCCACTCGGTCAGTCGCCACCTGCCAAGAACGGCCTGAGATGGTGGCATGCACCGCATGGCTTGTGCAGGGGAATGGATATAGGAAAAACAACAAAACTGGGAAAAATCTGAAGCTGTTTTGTGTTTTCCTTTAATTTTTTAATTTTTTTTTTGGTTTTCTGGACCTTTTGTAAGAGCTTTAGTGGGTAGGGGTGTCAAAATGAAGACAGGCTGGCACACCAAGAGAGGACATGCAGGGTTATGGGTCAGATGTGAATGCTGGCTCCAGTTCCTTGAGCAAGTCACTTAGTCTCTCTGTGCCTCAGTTTCCCAGCTGTGAAATGGGGGCGGGTGATTCCTTCTTTCTCACACACATTTGTCTTGTCTGTTTAGCTCTAGATTGAGGCAGGGATTTCTTCTTAATATGGTGGTGCTGATAGATGTTAATACCTGCCAGGCTCAGCAGAAGAAGGGATCACAGTAAAAACAGCTGTGCACGGAGAGGGATGCTACCGCGGAGGCATTATTATGACTCTCAGCAGCGGGCATGAGGTTTAGCCCAGGTAGCAGGGGCTTGGGTGCATGTTGCAGGCCATACGTGTGAGAGGCAGAAAGCCAGAAGGAGGAACCGTAAGCAAGGCCCCCCAATGCAGGCCAAGTTTCTTGGGCATAGGGTTTGCGGGGGGGGGGGGGGGCATGCTTGGATTTTTAAGCGGGGGGGCCCTCCCCTCCCCTAAATGTATCGAAGAAAACGGGGGT